ATACGGAGATGTCGAGATTTTGGGTCTCAAAATGTTTCAACTTTGATCTGAGCTCATTCCGGTTGCAGAATGAGCAAGGCCCTCGGCTAAGAGCGTCAGCCGTTGTCTGTTTTCGGTGTTCGCGCATAATCTGATCACAGTCAGCCACAAGCAAGGATTCTAGAGGATTCAATGGAACTCGCCTCCTTCAGAGCTTCACTGGACTCCTCTTGAGGCCAGTTCGCTTGCCACCATTCGATATCAGCGACATTTTCCTCAACTATACGATTCGCGGCATCTACCCTCTGCTGAGCTCGAGCTTCCGTCTCATGTTTCCTTTGTTGATCGTTGCGCGTCGGATGTTTCTCTCTGATTCTTGGACGAGTAACGGGTGCGCGGTTGAATTCTTCAGGCTGCTGCAGGGAGAATGTGATTACCCCAGCAGCAGCGGCATCAGCAGAGCGCACGAGACAATTCCACTGGCATACGTGCACGCGCATAAGGCAGATGAGATGATCTCTTTTGGCTCGTTTTAGATGATGTTCAGCTGCGATCGAAAGCACCGCAGCCGCGGTGGCTTTGGTTTTATCTTCTAAAGTCGTTGCGAGCAAATGCTGCAACGTACGCGTTTTCTGCGTATTGTCAAGTTCAGGGGCATACATGATTTGCAGGTGATTTGATTCTGCTCATAGATCAGATGAAGTTTCGTGAAGAAGAAGTTTTTGTACCTGGTGACACCGGTTGGCGGGTCTCCTTTTGTTTGCCCTTCCTTGACCGCTTGAGTTGAGGACGAGAATCCGAGTCTGATGATGTTGCTCCGAAATTGGAAATGCCCGTCGTACCACCGACTGCTACTACGTAGTCGGTACATATTCCTGCATACCTCAATCAGTTCGTGTACCGAAGCCATAATTCGACGATGACAGGGTCAGGTAGAGGGAAACAAATTACGCACGGTGAACCGGACACAATGCAGTATTTGCGTCCAGGGTATTTCGAGTGCATCGCATTCCAGACTCATGCCAGTCGCACTGTCGAGCACAAGGAACAGCAGGCAAATGTGGAGGCAACGATGCAGAAGAAACAGCTGCAGCAGAAAACCCGGTATAGACTGGAGAGGTCCCCATCGCCGCGTCATAAGAACGCTTTCCCAATGTAGAGGCTGAAGATGAACTGGGAGCGCCGCAAACATTGACTATACAAGATCCGAAGAGAAGCAACAGAAGGGACATCCGCCGAACGGTAATGAGCAACGAGAAGCGCGCAGATGGTCTACAAACAAGTGAGACTAAAATAGCATTCATATAGAGCGACATCAGGGCTTACCGAGTATGTGGAGCATGGGACGGCAAACAGACGTACCCACTAAACGACATTGAGGTCCGATTAGCGCAAAAGCAGTCAATTCAATGCCTACGTGTATTCTTGACCGAAATCAGGCGGTAACCCATTGCGTTGAAGTGAACGAAATATAACTAAGGTATGCATAAGAGAGAGAAATTTTAAGTTGTGGTAAGCTTTGCTTACCGGCAACTCTCTTCCAAAGAGTCCAAGTTATCGTACGGTCTCTTCTCCGCACTGCTCTCCAGTTTGACAGCATGCGCTGTCGCTGTGCTTGTCGGTTACAAAGCGCAGGTGTTTCGAAAGTAAAGACAGTGTTTGCGTCAGAAGCTGAAGCAGAGTCAGCAGGGCTCGGAGTCACTGAACATGGCCATACCTCTGCAGTTTTGCCAGACCTTCCAGCCGAGAAGTAGCATGTATTTCAATATAGTGCTGGATATGCAAGGTCAGACATATAGCACAGAGCTGTGTTTGTCATCTTACTGGAGATCCACGTCCAAATGGAAGGCATGACAATTGAAAACCACGGGCACGAGCGGGTCAACCGAACTAGGTAGTTTGGTATTGCGTTGAGAAGCAAGTCGGCGTCGGGTGGATCGATTGATACAGATATGTGGAAAGGGGTCTGAAAAAGCACTAATGAGTCGCCCGGAATGCGCACCAGATGGACATACCTTCGAGCATCAGCGCCCGCAGAACTCGTAACAAGGTACGACACGGTGCAAGGAAGCCTGTAAATATGAACCTACACTTTGTCAACAACGGCCTTGTTGCAGAGATATCGAGATTCACCTTGTACTGGCCTGTCTGAGGGTCGAGCTGAAAGGGAACCAAGATAAGAATGTGTCGGACCCGGGTTTTTGAGTAGATTGCAGGTGGACTGTGGTCAACCATGATAACAGAGTAAAATAGACAAGGGCGAAGTGGAAGCGCCATGAGAGTGGGCTCATAGTTTGGAAGAGGGGATTTCAAATTACAGGGGTAACTACCTGCCCCTGTTTCAATGACCATCGTGAGGTCAGTCCCATAGCTAGTCATTATATGGTGTATACTCTAAATGTTATGCTTGTGCAGACCCTGTGTATCACGTACCCTGGACTCGGTGAACAGATAAAAACATCGGGAGCAGGGAAGTCACAAAGTCGCGTCACATGACTGTTCCATTTCAACCCCAGTTCCAATGGACTGTCACGTTCACCAGACCGGTCTAAATCGCCCGTTAAAATGTGAAGGTGACGTCATTCAATTCTGCTCTTCAATTAACAAAATGTGAATGTCGCGTGCCCTTTCAATTTGGCCCTTCGTTTCACATCATATATCTTTCTCAATCTTGACACAGGCGACAGCTTAATGAAAAGGATTAGCAACATGAATAAGCAACGATAAAAAAGATTAACGAACGGAGCGGAGATTGCACAAATGATTCACATTGACAGGAAAGGCTGACGATCTGTTCGTAGACACGTGACAGAAGGCATTAGATAATCCGTTCACGTTCACCAGACCGGTCTAAATCGCCCGTTAAAATGTGAAGGTGACGTCATTCAATTCTGCTCTTCAATTAACAAAATGTGAATGTCGCGTGCCCAGACCCTGTGTATCACGTACCCTGGACTCGGTGAACAGATAAAAACATCGGGAGCAGGGAAGTCACAAAGTCGCGTCACATGACTGTTCCATTTCAACCCCAGTTCCAATGGACTGTCACGTTCACCAGACCGGTCTAAATCGCCCGTTAAAATGTGAAGGTGACGTCATTCAATTCTGCTCTTCAATTAACAAAATGTGAATGTCGCGTGCCCTTTCAATTTGGCCCTTCGTTTCACATCATATATCTTTCTCAATCTTGACACAGGCGACAGCTTAATGAAAAGGATTAGCAACATGAATAAGCAACGATAAAAAAGATTAACGAACGGAGCGGAGATTGCACAAATGATTCACATTGACAGGAAAGGCTGACGATCTGTTCGTAGACACGTGACAGAAGGCATTAGATAATCCGTTCACGTTCACCAGACCGGTCTAAATCGCCCGTTAAAATGTGAAGGTGACGTCATTCAATTCTGCTCTTCAATTAACAAAATGTGAATGTCGCGTGCCCTTTCAATTTGGCCCTTCGTTTCACATCATCAATCTTGACACAGGCGACAGCTTAATGAAAAGGATTAGCAACATGAATAAGCAACGATAAAAAAGATTAACGAACGGAGCGGAGATTGCACAAATGATTCACATTCACAGGAAAGGCTGACGATCTGTTCGTAGACACGTGACAGAAGGCATTAGATAAACCGTTTTGTACACCGACAAAGCTGACCACGGTAGGGGTGCATGGTGTAATGGTTACCACGCCCCCTGGTCTCTGGGTAAACCGGAGGTCCTGAGTTCGAACCTCAGTAAAGCCATCCTTGGGAGGTTTAGTGGGTATTACGTAATGTTGAGTCCCACACTGTTCGGCATCATGCCGTTCGTGCGTAAATGCATTCCTACCCTTTGGTGCAGATTAATTTCTGCATAAATGCGGACCAAAATTCTGCATCCTTGCGGACCAAAGGGGTTAATCCATTATTAATTGCCGGCGGTCATAACAAAACGCACATCCAAAAAAAAAAAAAAAAAAAAAAAAAAAAAAGCTGACCACGGTAAGACACAAACAACTCAAAACAAGTTTTGGTTTGTGAATAAGCTGGGAAGTTGATTGCGCGTTAAGCGAATTCAAACTCACATTGACCAGCCTGTCTATGCTTGCACAGACAGGCTGGATTCGAGCCTACGTCAAGCGGCTGATTTTCGACCTTTTTCTTGCTCGATATACCCCAAACTGTGGATATGCCCAAAATTTGGCAGTTCACTAGATTGCATCTAAGACTAACCCGTGGCTGAGTTAGATTGTCATAAACGGCAAACAAAATTTGATTGTCCCATTCAGGCGCGTGTAACACTGTACTGTATGTAAGTTATCAAAACGAAAGGTTCGTCTCCTGCTGCTTGCGGCCTTACATCAGGCCAAGGCATCCTATTGTATAATGCTTTCTAATTACAGCCTTGTATGGCAAAAGCCGTTTTGATCCACGGAAGTTACCGCAACTGTCAGTGTGCCGGCTGTGCCGCGCAGGTGACGGTCCTAGACACCTTTCCGAGAAGGCCGACCTCGTGACATATGTTCAAGTTTCGGCAAGTGCCGGGGGGGGGGGGGGGGGGTTCATATTGGACACTAACTCATGGTCCGCCACACAAACACATCCTCGCCCTCGCCGTCCATCGACATCCCGTTATTTCGTACGAAACCTCTTGCCGGTATGTCGGTGTGTGTGACAATCTCCTTGGCTCGCCAAATGAGCTGGAGACCATAAAGACAAATGGTGTGAAGACAACGTCGCTGTGGTGTAGTGCCATACCATACGCGGGTTATTATTGTGTATCCATTGACAACTACCTGTTTAGGGTTCGATTCCCTACAAGGGCATGATGTCGGATTTTGAAACTTTTTGGTTTTTTGTTTCCTACCAAGACTGTTGTAGCTATTCAATTATTAATTGTACTTGTTCTTTCCTTCAAGCACTCGCACTTCTAATTTTATAGCGAATTCTGACTCAATATTCTGACTCCATATTCTGGTCAAAAAGATGTGAGAGTTGGAGACTGATATATCTACAAACCAGGAAGCCTGTAGTATTGTTTTGGTTGGGTAGTGGTAACACAAGTCGTTGCCATACCATTGCAGAAAGCGGTATTTTCGACCCGCCGGGGGTTCGATCCCCCACCAAAGCATGACGACGCCATTTGTTCCTTTTTTTCTGTTGCACGGTGCAACTTGCATTGCAAGTACTTAAAATGTGCAGCAATTCAAGGATTTTGACCTGTTTGTTTTTGAAAATTTTCTGTCCATCTGACAGGTGGCAAGAGACTTGTTAAGAACTACTGCTGCAGCTGCTTGAAGGTTAATCACTCGCACTTCTAATTTTAGCATTCTAAAAAAGCCCTTCTCCAAATTCTGACTCAGTCAAAAAGATGTGAGAGTCGGAGACTGATATAGCCAACCCGGAAACTGTAGCTTTGGTGGGGTAGAGGTTCCAACATGATTTTCGACCCGCCGGGGGTTCGATTCCCCCCCCAAAAGCTTCAGCATTAGCACCCTTTCGATTATGAGAGTCTCTGCTGATGATGATCCTGCCCTTTTGTGACCAATTGTAGGCATGGTACAATATTACAATTGGCGTTGACCAAATCCAATCAGCCGACGATATTTTACGCAGTGCCATCAAGTCACCCATGCACATCCCGACAGCAGCGCCAGCGAGCACACAGCGGACGTGCGCTGCTCGTGAGCAATATTTGGCGCTGCCGCAGCGCTGGCAAACTTGACAATGAAGTCTCGAGGCGAGATTTAGTCAGTGCGCCACAAGCTAAGAAAGTAATCGGTCCATCTATCTGAAGCGAGTAGAATGCGAACAGAATTTCAACGGACAGGTGTGTGTGACAATCTCTTTGACTTGCCAAATAAGCTGCCAGCGGAAGACATAAATGGCCCCTTTATAATGTCGCTTTGGTCTCGGGTTGTTGTTGAATATCCAACTACCTGTTTGGGGTTCGATTCCCTACAAGGGCGTATTACCGGATGAAGTCACTTTTTTTTTTGTTTCAGATATTTAAAAGTTAGTAATTGCACTTGTTCTTTCTTTCAAGCACTCGCACTTCTAATTTTATAGGATCTTTAAAAAGCCCATTTCACTCCATATTCCGGTCAAAATGTGTGTGAGAGTTGGAGACTAATATAGCTACAAACCCGGAGCCCCGGAGGCCTGTAGTATTGCTTTGGTGGGGTAGTGGTAACCTGGGTCGTTGCCATAAATCAATTCGTTGCGCATATTCGACCCGCCGGGGGTTCGATTCCCTCCCAAAGCATTCCTGCAAATGCTCGATTTTTCAATGGCATCCTGCTTTTTTTGCTGTTGCACCGCAAGTACTCTCCCATTGAGCTCAGGCTGCAGGGGGAAAGGAAGGAAAAGAGATGATGTCACGACATCACGTGACGCAGGCTGATGCAGGCACAGCGGAGCTTAACGTCAATTCCAGAATCGTCCGAATCGCCCCCGCTTACTTTATTCTGGACTCTGAAGGATGGGCGCACAAGTTTCATCCTCGCAAAATATCTTGTTCGTGGGCTCCTCAAATTGATGTTGTGGATGTAAACTAATTTTTGCGAGCCGGTAATTGATTCTGTCTGACTTCCTGCTCGAGTTGCGTCCCAAGAGCACAGTGGTGGAAAAAAGAAGAAGGAAACATAGCCGGCCGGCATTATGAATTTGGCCGCGGCTTGCAGAAGTGACTAGCAGGCGGTGTTTAAAGCCTTGTACGGCAAAAGCCGTTGTTCAGAAATAGATCCGCGGAAGTTACGAATATGGGTTGAAAATTCCACAACTGTCAGCGCAGCGCCGACATGCCTGCTGGCCGAAACCGTATTGGTTACTCTTGAATTAATCACTTGGGAGATGACTTTTGTGTGTCAATCTTTGAAATTATGTTATGAGTTTCAGCGTTTGTTGACTGTAGATCTAGACTAGCTAGTCTAGATGTCCGAGAAGGCCGACCTCGTGACATATGTTCAAGTTTCGGCAAGTGCCGGCGGGGTTTGTAATAGACACTAACTCATGGTCCGCCACGCAAACACATCCTCGCCCTCGTCGTCCATCGAGATATCCCCGTCCCCGTCCTCGTCGCTCCCGTGGCCTCCGTCCGCAGCTGCACACAGCGCCTGCACCACCCGACTCCCCCGCGTCTTCTGCCACCCCGAGATGCGCGTGAATACACAATGTTGAATATACATACGTCAAACGTACAACGTACAAAAGCAACGAACTGCAGTATATCACGCTCTTCCTGGGCTACACCACGTCCGCCGCCTCGCTCGCTGCACTGCGCCTCCTCGCCGGCCGCCCCGCCCCCGCGCTGTGCTCGCTCGCGCTTGAGGACCCAACAGGCCCCGCCGCGCTCGTCCCCGTTGACGCCGCCCCGCTGCTCGCGTTCGTGTTTACCAGGCTGGTGCACCCGCACGCACACGCGCACGCAGCGCAAGAAAAGGAAGTGCCGTTCCCCGCCCTCGACAAGGTCGTCCTCCGGCACACACGTCTCCGGCCCTGGGCCCTTCCCCGTATTGCTCCTGCGCAGGCGCCCGCAACCGGCGTGGCGGCGCGCGCGCACGTACGTCACCTGCGCCGCCTCGAGCTCGTCGGCGCGAGCCAGGCGCTGCTTCCCCTCGCGCGGGCCGCCGCAGTCGAGGTGTGCGTGCGCGGGCCGCTCGCGCTGCGGCACCCCGTCGGAGCGGCGGCGGCGGCGGGCAGGTGAATGGCGAGCGTCATGCGCGCGCTTGTTAAGGACGGCCCCGGGGCCGGGCCTGCGCTTGTAGAGCTGCACGCGGAGGCGACTGTGACCGAGAACCCTTGACAAGTTAGCTAGCATTGACCTTAAGCTTGACTGCTGCGGAGCCAAAAATTGCTGCAAATTTTCTCTGCTTCAGGGACTCAACGTACTCAACCTTCCCTGCGGTGTAAAAGAAAAAAAGAACATGATGCAACGAATGCTTTGGGGGGGAATCGAACCCCCGGCAGGTCGAAAATCTGTTAAATATGCATTCGCGCGATCGGCGCCATGGCAACGACCCAGGTTACCTCTACCCTACCAAAGCAACACTACAGGTCTCCGGGTTAGTAGCTGTATCAGTCTCCAACGGAGCTCCAACTCTCACCGAGTCAGAACTGGAATTTTGAGAAATTAGCTTTTTAGAACGCTACATTGGAAGTGCGAGTGATTATCGATTAACCTTCAAACAGCTGCAGCAGTAGTCCAAGTCTCTTGGTACCTGTCGGATGGAAAGTTTGCTGGCAGTGCCATCAAGCACAGCGGCAGCACCACAGCGCCCGGCGGCGCAGCTCGTGTGCAACATTTGGCACCGGCAACTTGAAGTCTCGAAACGTGACCGTGCCACACAGGCTAATCAGTTCACGCATCTGAAGCGAGTAGAATTTTAACGGACAGAGGACATGAGAATAACGCCAAGAGGTTCCAAACGAGAATCCGGACAAATCCTGCGCCACCAGAGTCCGGAAAATTGGGGCCCCAAGCCCGACTCCATTAATACAAAAGTCCGGACAGAGGAGTCATGGATGCCCATTGTCATTGCCCAAACAGGTTGCATACCCAGTCCGGACAGAATGGAAGCCGAGACGCCACGTATCATAATCACTGCGTTCCGCTAAGTCCTACACTTACTATTTGTAGCTAATGACAGGTCTGCGTAGATGACTACACAGCCCAGTTTAGCCGACTACGCATAATTTATTTGCAGCTCATGACGGATCTGCGTAGGTAACTACAATCACTAAGCGCAGCTCTTCGCAGCTCTTCGCAGCTGAGCGTACAGTGGCGGCAAAAAATAATGAGCAGGGTGGTTTGGGCCTAGTTCTGGGTCGAATCTCTTCAAATAAAATTGTGGTATCAGCGTTAAACAATTTCAACGTCGTATGAACGATTTAAACCATACCATACCTGTCTCAATGTCCCACAAAAAAATAGATTGGTGTATTCTGAAAAATCGACTTTGCGGAATCACATGCTATCAAAAAATGGTTATTGTAACATGAAAGTACTCGAAAAATGAAGGATACTGACATTTTATTTCATTGGAATTTATTGAGATTTGGGCTTGCAATGCCTGCTACAAATTGGCAAATTTGGGCGAAAATAAGCAAAAAGTGGCCAAAAATGGTCAAAATGGCCGACTTGTGATGGGCATTGCGAGCCCGAATCCTAATGGATTCCGATGAAATAAAATGTCAGTATCCTTCATCTTTCGAGTACTTTCATGCTACAATGACCATTTTTTGATAGCATGTGATTCCGCAAAGTCGATTTTTCAGAATACACCAATCCATTTTTTGTGAGATATTGAGACAGGTAAGGTATGGTTTAAATCGTTCATACAACGTTGAAATTGTTAACGCTGATACCACAATTTTATTTGAAGAGATTCGACCCAGAATTAGGCCCAAACCACCCTGCTCATTATTTTTTGCCGCCACTGTAGGTCAGCGTAAGTACCTACACAGCTGCACTCACTGTGTTGCAGCACTCCCTTCCCCCGACCTCTGCCGGAAATAAAGTTTGCATTGGACTACAGTCAGTCTTTGTAGGTGAGTGTAGTTCAACCAGTTGGCCACACAGACCTACTCTGAGCTGCACTTATCTGCGCAGTCCTACACAGAGCTGTACTCAGTTACAAATAGCATGTCTACTCAACTAGAATTAGTCATATTTGCAGCTGTGCGTAGGTGTCTGGCGGTCGGCCATTTGTAGAACATAGCGTAACGCAGTGAATTGAAAAGAACGTCATTCACCGGTTGCATTCAGCTTCGGCAATCCTTGACATCTCTCGCTTCACTCACCTTCCTGCTGGATTCAGTCCTCTTTGAAGAACAATTTGAACTTTGCTGTTATTTCTCCCACAATGGCTCTCAAAGAACAACAGGAGCAAGAAAGAAATGATACAGATGGTAACTATTGTAAACACGGTACAATGGCCCAACGCAAATATAGTGAGTGGACATTGAGGATGAGGAGGACGATGTCGACGGCTAGGAACGCTGCTATCGATTTTGCGTTTTTTTTTTTCGGAACTTTTAAAAATTGTTTGATCTTTTTGTGGTTGGGTCCAAAAAAATCCAGAAAATTCGGGGGCCTGATCACGATCACGATACCAATCCGGACAAAAAAATCTCGCCACGGCAGCAAGAATCCGGAAATCTCGCCATGGCAAGAACCCGGACGAAAGGTGCTTGAAGGCCGATTCTCGTATGAAACCTCTTGGCAGTATTCTGGAGGGTCCTACGGACAGGGTGTGGCAATCTCTTTGGCTTGCCAAATGAGCTGGACACCATAAAGACAGAGATGGCGTAATGACAATAGGGGAGGTCAGAGTGGACCGAAACACGACGAAACTCATTTCGAAACTCAGTCGAAACTTAGCCGAGTTTCGATCAAGAATCGACTCAAACTTTGACCGCACCGATTCTGCTAGGTAACTCCCATCGATTCTGTATTTCACTGGGACTTACGCAAGACTTAGCAGGCAAGCTTCGCAATCGGTCCCAGCTGTCTTATCCTGGTCCGAGGTTTTTTTCTTTTTCTGCACCCTGCGCGGCGCTGCCTGCTGCGCCTTGCCTCTGGGGGTGGGCGTTTTCATGCGGCCGAGTTTGGTACTGGCGGCAGCGGCTGTGTGGGCCATTTCTGTGGCTTTGGCCACTGGCATGGTGTGGTAGATCTAGAGTAGTAGTGCAAATAAATAAATAAACAAATATATTATTATTATTATTTATAGCGTGACTTGAAGGATTTAGCTAGACTTAAGGGACTTAAGGGAGTTTCGAAGTTCGATTCTCGAGTCGAAACTCGTGAGTTCCTCCTCCAGGGGAGGAACAGCGAAACTCATTCGAAACTTGATTCTTGATCGAAACAGATCGAAACTCGGCTAAGTTTCGACTGAGTCTCGAAATGAGTTTCGTCGTGTTTCGGTCCACTCTGACCTCCCCTAAAATGTCGCTTTGGGTGCTGGTAAACCCGGGTTATTGTTTGTGGGGGTTGATTCCCTCTCAGCGCCAGACACGGCGCCAAGGATTGACAGTCCCTCTTAGCACCATGTCGCGGATCTTGTTAAGTGTTTCTCTACCAAGAGACTTGGACTACTGCGGTAGCTATTTAAAGGTTAATTGTACTTGTTCTTTCCTTCAAGCACTCACACTTCTAATTTTATAGCGTTTTGAAAAGGCCCACTTCCGACTCCATATTCCGATCAAAACAATGTGAGAGTAAACCCGGAGGCCTGTAGTATTGCTTTGGTGGGGTAGTGGTAGCATAGGTCGTTGCCACTGGCATACCATTGCAGTAAGCGGTATTTTCAACCGGCCGGGGGTTCAATCCCCCCCCCCAAAGCATTGTTCGTCATCATTCTGACTTTTGTCAATAGCATCATGCTTTTTTTCTGTTGCACCGCAAGTACTTAAAATGTGCAGCAATTCAAGGATCTTGAACTGTTTGCTTTTTTTTAAAAATCTTTCCATCCGACAGGTGCCAAGAGACTTGTCAAAAACTACTGCTGCAGCTGTTTGAAGGTTACTGTAATCACTCGCACTTCTAATTTTAGCATTCTAAAGAAGCCCTTCTTCAAATTCTTGTCAAATTCTGACTCAGTCAAAAAGATGTGAGAGTTGGAGACTGAGTCGTTCCCGTGGGTGGTGTTACAGCTGTTCCAATAAACCTTGAGACATACAGTTTTTTTTTGGTCCCCGGTCCTGAGAGGGATATAGCCAAATTCGGTCAGCAAGTCCAAACACATTGATTTGGCCACAAGCCCGTTTCCATAGCGATGGCCGCAAGGATTAGTATTCACCTATCTGCGCTGTCATGGTTTGACACCGAATTTGGCCATATCTATTTCGGGACCGGGGACCAAAAAAAAAGTATGTCTCAAGGTTTAATAGAACAGCTGTAAGTAAGTACCAACATGTACAGATTTTCGACCCGCCGGGGGTTCGATCCCCCCGAAGCATCCGTACTCGATGCTTTTCCTTTTTTTTTCTTCCTGTTGCACCGCGAGTAAGTAGTTACCTGTTGAGTTCCTGAAGCAGAGAAAATTTGCAATTTTGGCCCCGGGGCAGTAAAGGTCAATGCCAGCTAACTTGTACAGTGATGGACGGGTCAATGGGACAACCAAATGATTAATTGAACAACAATTCTTTCAGGTCCATTTTACAAATTCTGAAGAAGCCAAACTATTTGTATGGTAATCAGGTATGAGGTTTAAAATTTTGAGGGTGAACAGAATTGAAATAATAAAGTACTGTGCCCAGTTGACTGTCCCATTGACTGACTCAAAAATGCACTGCCAAACATGTCCGATTCTTTTGCTTTCTGGGCTTTCTTGTGGGCTCATACCAACTCAAATACATTGTGGAGGTCATTTTTACTAGCGATGCTTACACATGACTGGTTTTGTGACAGAAAAAATCATGCAGAGTAGCTAGAATACGACCGTCCCATTGACTGTCGCGTCCCATTGACCCGTCCAACACTGTAAAGGGTTCTCGGTCACAGTGAATATCCTCTTCTTAAATAAGTACTCGTAACACGTGTAAATGGTGGCTGTGCACTGAGGACATTCAGACTGGCATTCTTTGCCTGATTTTGGCACTGTTTTAAGCTAAAGGAGACAGGTGACAGAGTATTAGCCAACTTCGTGACATCGTTGGCTGGAGCCATTGGTCGGATGGTGCCCATTCATCCGATAGCAACGAAAGTTCGTGCTTGAGTTCGTGAGATGACAATGGCAATAATGACATACAAGTTCGTGCCAACAAACTTGCAAAAAGTGGGTTAGTATTTTTCTGCCACCCACCTCCAATTCTTCCCTCTGGTCACGGTTCTGCTAGCCCATTGACGTTGCTGATAACAATAGATTCAGCATTAGCACCCTTCCGACTATGAGAGTCTCTGCTGATTGATGATCCTGCCCGCAAGCTTTTTCGTGACCAATTGTAGGCATGGTACAATAATATGGATCTGCTGAAGCGACAAGTGCTCGCTACGCAGTGCGAATAGCGTGTGTTTCAGTCGAATTGTGTTTCGACTTGGACATGTGATCGCGAGGTGGCATAAATGGACAAAAATTCAAACACAACCATTCCTCTCTCGATCGGCCTGAGTTTTGGTAAGCTCGTCGAGCACATGTACCCAAGCCCAGAATTAATTTTGGTAAGAAATAGATGGAGAAACGATCGAGAAATTGGCGAGTCGCTGCGCGACTCGTTTCCAGTCGGACAATTGATGGTCCATCAGCTATGTTCCACCCTGGTTCCTCACGTGTTACCGAATAATTGCGAGCGCAGCAAGCAATTACAATTGGCGTTGACCAAATGCAATCGGCCTTACGCAGTGCCATCAAGTTACCCATGCACAGCCCGATGGCAGTGCCAGCGAGCACACACACTGTGGGAAGTACAAACACTGACTTTCAGGGTACCTACTCCCCTTCATATCAGTGCTGCAGTCCCTGATAAACAGTGTGATGCTACCCTTCATATCAGTGCAATGTCACGTAAAACTCAGTTATGTACAGTGTAGTGGACACTGATGAACAGGGCACCTCTACACTTTGTTTCAGTGGTAGCTATACTGACCTTCAGTGCAGCCATACATAAGTTATAATCTGGTGCTCATGTAGTGCTACAGTACTGCTACAAAGTACTACAAAACTAAAGGTCAATAAGAAAAGTTATTACACTCTCTATTAGACTTCACTTTACCTACCTTGTGTTTCAACATTAGCTTGAATCTTTCAAGTCAGCCAAGTCAATCTCACTTCACTGTCACTGTCAGAAACTTAAGGTAGCGGACATACAAACTCTGCAAACGGTGCACGTGACTTTGACAGCTGTCCCAATTAGGGCAAATTCTCTTGAGAAATCTATAACACTCTATCTAGAGCACTCTCACAGAATCCCTTCCATGAATCAATTCATTCACTTCATATCTTGCCCTAAAAAAATAATAAGCATAAGCAGACCTAATCTGAGTGAGGAGATGTTGCTGCAAGTTTGGTGATGCAAATTCCGGCTCTTTTGATCAGTGGCAGCGCCATTTTCGCTCGAAATATATCCCCAAGTGTTTTAGATTTGCTATTTGGGTCCATCTGCCCTTTCTACATGTTTATCCTGGCCTATAACATAGAATGTCTTCCATTTTTGCCCTGTTGTATATTTGCATCCAGTTTGTAAATTTGTTTCTACATGTAAAAGATGTTGTGTCACTGGCCCTTTTGTTCTAGAAGACTCTATAAAACTTTTTGAGAGCAAACAACTCTTGTGGCCACACTTGGTATGCCACGGTGCAACAAAAGAGTCGGAATTTGCATCACCAGACTTGCAGCAACATCTCCTCACTCAGATTAGGTCTGCTCATGCTTATTATTTTTTTAGGGCAAGATATGAAGTGAATGAATTGATTCATGGAAGGGATTCTGTGAGAGTGCTCTAGATAGAGTGTTATAGATTTCTCAAGAGAATTTGCCCTAATTGGGACAGCTGTCAAAGTCACGTGCACCGTTTACAGAGTTTGTATGTCCACTACCTTACCATTAGACAGGTTTATGACGATAATGAATTGCACTATCAAGAACTTCAACAGTCTTTGCACACACTCATGCATACACCTATGGGAAATTTTCAGAGGTGATGACTTGAGTTTTGTACCTTGCTTGAGCCGCAGGGTAGAGGCCCCACGAAAGGAGGCTTCCGCATTCTATCTAATGATGTTGTCAACTCTGCCAGTGACTGGGGGTAACCTTTACATAAGGGGTAGCAGAGCAGTTGTTGGAAGGCAAAATCAGTGAAATTTCGGACAGTGTAATGTGGTACACTGTTGATAAGGGGAGAGGGCTTCAGGGTAATAGGGTACCCTTTACCCTTTACATATGGGGTAGCAGAGCAGTGTAATTGAGTACCCTTCTTATCAGTGTACTGATTTGGCTGGGTCAGTGTACAGTAACGGACAGTCAAAGACATCAACTCGCCTAGGAGCTGCAGTTTTGTTTCAATTAAAAAACAGAGTTCAGATTCAGATTCAGCACCCTAAAATACACCTATATACCATTTTTCCAAATTTTTTGACGAGGGGTTAAGGTTGGCCAAATTTTTGGCCGCTCCGAATGAAATTGTGTGTACCTCTTTGGGCATCCGGTGATCAACCTATTGGCCTGCCGAAGCTGCCGTGACAGCCGCGGCATCTAAGGATTCTGCGGCGCGCCTGGTCGCTTTGCGATGAGCACCTTGGCGTCTGATTGCCCAGGCTGTTCACTATCTGTAGCATTTTCCGAGTCACTTTGATATGGAGTTTGGGGAGCAGTGGAAGGAGCAGAAGAAGGAGCAGAGACAGCCGGAGAAGACCTATTGGATCCCTGGTTCCGGAGGCCAGAGATATTTGATTTCTTCTTCTTGGGAGCAGGCATTCCAGGGGTAGCATCTATCATCTCTCCAGTCGAGTATATATAGGTTAAACCAGGAACAGATTTGCGCAAGAATTCCGGTTAAACATCGGTGTTTGATCATGTGTCTCACCATGTGACTTTTGCACCCCTGATTTCTCCCGAATGGCTCGCAATTTTTTTCTCAAACTTTGCCAGGAGACGCTACTAAACAAGAGCTTTCATTTGAGCCTAAGATCGTCCAGATTGAAGCAAAACTGGCGAAGTTGGCCAAATGTTGAGTCACATTTTACTTGTCATGTGATTTCCGGCCGAACGGCTCGTCAGAAAAATCTGAAAATATTCAGGGAAGTACTACTCGATGGGATCTATCGATTGACAAAGTATTACAATTTTTGAAGAACTTTGATTTCGGTTGATGTCTTTGACTGTCCGTTACTGTAATGACACTTACGATCAGTGTTTATACTTCCCACAGTGCACAGCAGACGTGCACTGCTCGTGTGCAATATTTGGCGCCGGCAAACTTGAGGGTTGAAGCGAGATTTGGTCAGTGCGCCACAGTCTAAGGCTGAGAAAGTAATCGGTCCATCTATCTGAAGCGAGTAGATGCACCAGAATTTTAACGGACAGGTGTGTCAATCTCTTTGGCTTGCCAAATGAGCTGCCAGTGGGAAACATAAATGGCCCCATTATAATGTCGCTTTGGCATAGTTATAATGTTGCTTTGGTGTAGTGGTCAACCCGGGTTATTGTTGAATATCCAACTACTCTACCTGTTTGGGGTTCGATTCCCTATAAGGGCGTGTAAAAGAGATGTCATGACTTTTGTTTTTGTTTCCTACCAAGAGACTTGGACTACTGTGGCTATTTAATGATTAATTGCACTTGTTCTTGGAGTCTTTCAAGCCCTCGCACTTCTAATTTTATCGCGTTAAAAAAAGCCCATTTCTCCAAATTCTGATTCCATATTCCGGTCAAAAAGATGCGAGAGTTGGAGACTGATATAGCCACAAACCCGAAGGGCTAAAGTATTGCTTTGGTGGGGTAGTGGTAACCTGGGTCGTTGCCATATTGCCCTATGGATGTATGCGAATCTTCGACCCGCCGGGGGTTTGATTCCCTCCCAAAGCATGAGTTGGCAGTTTTAAAATTTTGTCAATGGCATCATGCTTTTTTCTGTTGCACTGCAAAGTACTTTCCTGTTGAGGCAAATAAAATGTGCAGCAATTTTGGCCCCACAGCAGTGAAAGCCATAGGGGCTCTAAACCCGTACTCCCGAGGGCCCTACGAGCCCCAAGCGCCTAAATTTAAGGCACAAAGCTATATAAAAATAAAGAATAAACTCGTATTTCTATAAATTAACACGTCGAGCGGACACCTCGTGCAGGCGGGGTATAGGGCCTGTGTAAGCCATCACTAGTCACTTCCACGCAGGCTGCGCCGATTCCCGAAGAAGATTCTCCCACAGTCATTCTCCTCAAGAGCCCGGTTTCGTGTGACATACGAAAAAATATTCGCAAGTCAAGCTGCAAGGGGCAAGCATGGAGACGAAATCCAGCCTGAGAGGTTGAGCAGAGGGTTATGGTGGTGGAAAAGGAAAATTTAAAGAGATGCTGTCACGACATCACATGATCACAGGCACAGCGGAGCTCAACGTTAATTCCAGAATCGCCCGAATCGCCCCCGCTTACTTATTTTCTGGACTCTAGAGGATGGGCGCACAAGTTTCATCCTCGCAAAATATCTTGTGCGGGGCTCCTCAAATTGATGTTGTAGATGTAAACTAATTTTCACAAGCCGGCAATTGATTCTGTTTGACTTCCTGCTTGAGTTGCGTCCCAAGAGCACAGTGGAGGCTTGCAGAAGTGACTTGGAGGCGGTGTTCAGGGCTAGGGCATCCTACAAGGCTTTTACCTCACTCCGTGATCGGAGTTTCTTAGTCGAAGCGGCCGCTCCGTGATCGGGATGTTAACCGGGCCGTGATCTTCTTTATTGGGAGTTTTTACAGCCACACCATGCTCACGTGTTAATCAAGGAGCGCGTAGGTAGAGTAGATGCCAAACTACTACAATCCATTACACCTGTTTGGGGTTCGATTCCCTACAAGGGCGCATATGAAGGAGGTTATGACTTTTTGTTTTTTGTTTCCTACCAAGAGACTTGGGCTACTGTGCTATTTATGTAATGGTTAGTAATTGCACTTGTCCTTTTCTTCAAGCCCTCGCACTTCTAATTTTATCGCGTTGTAAAGGGCCCATTTCTCCAAATTCTGACTCAATATTCCGGTGAAAAAGATGTGAGAGTTGGAGACTGAATCCTGATATAGCTACAAACCCGGAGCCCTATAGTACTGCTTTGGTGGAGTATGGGTCGTTGCCATATTCCGATTCAACGCGAACTTTCGACCCGTCGGGGGTTCGATTCCCTCCCAAAGTATCCCGCCGAGGTACTATCGGCCTTTTTTTGCAATGCTGTTGCACCGCAAGTACTTCCCTGTCAAGTCCCTGAAGAAAGAATTACAGCAATTTTGGCCCCGCAGCAGTGAAGGTCAATGCTAGCTAATTTGTAAAGGGTTCTCGGTCACAGTGAATACACAATGTTCAATATACATACGTCAAACGTATACAACGTACAAAAGGCAGTATATTATTACTTTGGCATCTCCAGGACGATTCTACCAGCAACGGCGCCCTTGGTCATGCCCTCGTACACACTGCGAAGTTTCGGATCAGCTCATCAGACGACTACGCAGCGAGCCGAGGACGCACGAGGAGAGGTCTTTGAGGCCTTTCACAGACAGCATGCATCTGACTTGGCCGCGGGCGGCGATCTCGACGGCCTCGACGGCATCCTGGTGGTTGCCGACATACGACCCGAGAATGCTCAGGCTGATGCTCTGAAGCGCGGTACGGTGAAGCCGTCATTGACACTAGTCACTGGGCTGCTCCGAAGAAGACTCCCCACAGTCATTCCCTCTCCAAGAGCCCTTTTTCGTGTGACATAAAATCGAGCTGCAAGGCAAGCATGGTTGAGCAGAGGGTTATCAGGTGGTGGAAAGGAAGAAAAAGAGAGGCTGTCGTGACACCACATGACGCAGGCTGATAGGAGCTCAACGTCAATTCCGGAATCGTCCGAATCGCCCCCGCTTACTTACTTTATTCTGGACTCTAGAGGATGGGCGCACAAGTTTCATCCTCGCAAAATATCTTGTTCGTGGGGCTCCTCCAATTGATGTTGTAGATGTAAACTAATCTTTACGAGCCGGCAATTGATTCTGTTTGACTTCCTGCTTGAGTTGCGTCCCAAGAGCACAATGGTGGAAACAGAAGAAGGAAACATAGCCCGCATTGTGAATTTGGCCGTGGAGGCTTGCAGAACTGACTGGGAGGCGGTGCTCAGGGTTAAGGCATCCTACAAGGCTTTACAGCCTTGTACGGCAAAAGCCGTTGTTCAGAAATAGATCCGCGGAAGTTACGAGTACAGGTTGAAAATTCCACAACAGCGCCAACATGCCTGCTGGCCGAAAACCGTATTGGTTACTCTGAATTAATTACTGACTGACTTTTGTGTGTCAATCTTTGAGATTATGTTATGAGTTTCAGCGTTTGTTGACTACTAGATGTCCGAGAAGGCCGACCTCGTGACATATGTTCAAGTTTCGGCAAGTGCCGACGGGGTTTATAATAGACACTAACTCATGGTCCGCCACGCAAATACATCCTCGCCCTCGCCGTCCATCGAGACATTCCCGTCGTCCTCGTCGCTCCCGTGGCCTCCGTCCGCAGCTGCACACAGCGCCCGCACGACCCGCACACGTGTCGTCCCCAGCACCCGCTCCTCCACGTCTTCCGCCACCCCGCGGTGCGCGCGCGCCTCCGTGTGCAGCTCCACGAGCGCGGGTCCGGCCCCAGGGTTGTCGTTGACAAGCGCGCGCACGACGTTCGTCATCCACCCGTCGTCGCCGCCGCTCCGACGCGGTGCCACACCGGGTGCGGGCGCGAGCGGCCCGCGCATGCACACCTCGACCGCGGCGGCCCGCGCAAGAGGGAGCAGCGCCTCGCTCGCGCCGACGAGCTCGAGGCGGCGCACGCGTACGCCCGCGGGCGCCGGGAGGCCGGGTGCGGGCGCCTGTGCGTGTCCAAAGACGGGGAAGGGCCCGGGGCCGGAGACGTGCGTGCGCCGGAGGACGATCTCGTCAAGCGCGGGGAACGGCACTTCGTGTTCTTGCGCTGCGTGCGTTTGTGCTTGCGGGCGCGGGTGCACCAGCTTGGGGAACACGAACGCGAGCAGCGGGGCTGCGTCGACGGGGACGAGCGCGGCGGGGCCGCTCGCGTCTTCAAGCGCGAGGGCGCGCAGCGCGGGGGCGGCCCGGCCGGCGAGGAGGCGCAGCGCAGCGAGCGCGCCGGCGGACGTGGTGTAGCCCAGGCAGAGCGCCGTAAGGTGCGAGAGGCAGAGGTGTGGCGGCGGCGGGAGGTCGTGCGGGCCGGGCGGCGGCGCAGGGCCGGCGCCGTTGAGGACGAGGCGCGCGAGGCGGGGGGCGGCGCGGAGGAGGGCGGCGAGGGCCGGGAGCGGCGGGTGCACGGGGGCGGAGAGGAAGGCGAGCTCGAGCGTGCGCAGGGCGGGCGAGAGGTGCGCGGCGAGGGGGGACCAGGCGGCGGGGACGCCGCGCAGCGTGAGGTGGCGGAGGCGAGGGAGGAGCGGCGCGTGTGTGCGCGCGGTGCTGCCGAGGCCGGGCTGGACAGCAGCGAGGAAAGCGTAGGAGGGCGCATCCGCGTCTGCGGCGTAGGCGTCGCAGCGCATGAGGCGGAGGCTCTCGAGGCGCGGGGCGCCGCCCGCGAATGCTAGTTGGGCCTCGAGCGGGCGGAGGGCGGCGTGCATGGGGGCGCAGACGTCGGTGAAGACGGAGAGTGAGCGCCAGCGGGCGAGATGCGGGAGCAGGAGCGCCATCGCGCTGCGCATGTGCGCCGCGGAGAACCACGGGGTGTACGTGCTGGACAGACACACAGTCACGAGACAAAGAAAGAAAGAAAGAAAGGAGCACGCACGCGTCGCTGGCAAAGTCCCAGTCGGGGTCGCGTGCGTCGATGAGGATGTCGAGCGGGTAGGTGCACGAGAGCACGAGATAGGCGGCGATGCCGCGCAGGTCGAGGGTGTGGTCGCGGAGGAGCTCCGGGGTGATGCAGAGGCTGGTGAAGAGCGCGGGGGTGCCGAGGGCGACGCTGCGCCAGTGGCGGCAGACGGCGGCGTACGCGAGCGGGGCCTGGACGCTCTCTGAGTTGAATTGCTGGTAGCCGTGATCGTCGTTGTCGGCGTGGTTGAGGGCGTCGTGGGTGCCGAGGACAAAGATGTATGCGAGGAGCTCGACGGGGAATGCGAGGTGGAACATGAGCATTGATACTATTACCTTGAAGTGCAGCCTGGCGACCAGTCGAGGAGTACTATAATATAGTAGTCTACAACTCAAAGCGGAAATTTGGAAGTACCCCAACCTCGGAACGGTAATCAAGTACTGTAACCGGGTGATATTCTCTTTAATAAGAGTCTCTTGTCTCGAGCAGACTGATGGCAGACATGAGGTTCGGCTTTACAAAAGGCTGTTACATGGCCCTGCAGGTGAGCTCTCCCATCACATCTGAAAGCCGCTTTGGCAAACCGCCGATCGTTCATATTTCCATATTGAGACACCATGAATAAAAACCTCATAACCACAAGCACGCAAGTGGAGGCAAATACCCGGGACCAGAATGTGTAGATATGTACAAGTAATTGCAAGTGTATTTCAAAATCATGACTCAATGCCCTGTGAGTGCAGGAAATAGACGAACAGCATCTATTAGTTCTTCCAAAATGCTCGCTGGTAGGTGCAATCCATGCTGCCTGCGGTCCAGTTAGCTTATGGGTAACCGGCAACCCCCAAATCGGTAACAAAGGCTCCCAAATTTGGCAACAACGGTGCGCAGCGCGTGCGTTTAGTTGCCACGGAGGTAACTTGCTTTTGTTCTTGAAAAGGTTCGCCGTGCGCGTTGCTTTGATCTCCAAATGGCGTTCTGCACGCAACTTACCTCACGACAAATGCCCTCGTTGGCCCGGATTTTTGTTACTGCACTCAGGCTCAACCCTTCAAGTACAGA